AGCCGCACTGCCGATTTTGGATCAAATTTTAGGATTTTCAGTGCGGCTTATAGTCGTGAAAATACGGTATAAGAAAATAGTTACCATACAACAAGTCAAATAGTGCCACCTCCTGGTGAAAAATAGGATTCTATAAAAAAGAGTCTGGATTAAAAGCTTCCCACAAAAAAAAATGACAGAGCATTTATTTAAGTAAAAATGTTTCAAACTATATAATATTGGTAAGAAAAGCAAGATATTTCACAATTGTAAAATTATAGATAGAGCTTAACTGAACAAATAATACAGATTAAAAATAAGGGCTTATACAATGCATTAGAGCCAGTTCCCAAAAGGTGCTTCAGAATACGGAAATGTGTGAACTAAGCATTGGTCTGCAACTTTTTAAAGCAGCAACATTTTTTCCCAGGGTTGCTCATCAGCCCTCTACAGTTGCCATCTGATCTGGAAAAAGACAAGGATGCTTTAAAAGCTACCCGAAGGTACTGTTTTATGCTCCACAGACTTTCAGGTTCCATTTTGGAATTGAATCCAAAACGCTGCATAACCCTATTAAAATTATTGCAACAAAGCAGTTAAACCAATTCAAAACACTATGTTTTATATAACACATGCAGCCAAGTTGAAAAGCTCTAAATGCATAAGGCAAAAGAAAAAAAAAAGTTTACCACTAGATTCTTTTTCTTGCAACTTTTTTCATACTGAGTCAAATCTGGCAGTTTGCTTCATAGAGAACGCTGATTGCTTGTCAAAAGAGAGAATCAAGTTTTCAAGAGGAAAATGTTATTCGGGACAACAAGTATAGAAGGTAAATATAACATCTGAAAGAGAAAACTTGGCCATCCTTTAGCCAATTCTTGGGAACAAAGATGCTCCTAAGCCCAGCTTGGAGAAAGCCAATTGATTCACAGGCATCTGGATGCCAATTTACAACTAGAGTTGTATGGACAAAATAAAATAAAATAAAATAAAAAGCAAAGTGGACAGTTTCTCTCCTAATCCTGATCAAGCAAAGTCAGTCTTCCTCTTCTATCAAATTGCAGACTGCGTATCATTCTATAGGTACTGAACAATACCTCTCTTGAAAACAGTGTTACCACCATTTTAAAAAAAAGTATTACTCTGTTTTTATATATACATTAAAGTGCAGTCTCTTTTAAAGTAGTCCCCATCCCTTGGAAACTGATCTGGAAGCTCTGCAGTAGTATTATTAGTAGTGTTGATGTCATAATTAAGTATATCAAAGCCCTAATCTCTTTCGTTCAACTGTTAAATGCCGGAAATTGTGGTGAGCAGAAGAGAATGCAATGCCTTTTAAGTGACTAAGTTACAGAATGGAATGTGAAACAGGTTTTCGTTCAACTGAAGCAGCAGCTATCTCCACGATTTGAAGCATTTACGTTTTCTCACAAAACTGGTAACATTCTTGCATGTTCCAAAATATATTCCTATAAAACAGATCTGAAGAGTTATGTGATTTTCACACTAATTTGCAACACAAAGTCACTTTCGTAACGACGCCTGCTTTAGGAAAGAACAAAACATTAAACTCCAACTTAAAGCTCTGCACTTTTCAGTAAGTCCTCTATTTAAAGGGAAAAAGAGAGAGAAAATAAAAATCTATTCTTCATCATTATCTTCATCATAGTATCTGTTCCTCTTGATCTGTTCTTCCACACTTAAACCGTCTTGGTCTTCTCCTTCAAAAAGCCCTGCATCTTTGGATCTATAATTTGGACTAGTGGAGAATTCTTTTTCACTTGAGAGAACCGAGGACGAATACTCGGAAGAGATGCCAATCACTGGTTCTTTCTCAAGAAATGCTGGCTGTCCTGCACCTTCTTCCTCCACTTCCTCTTCCTCAGGTTCAGCATGATTCTGCCCATTCTTCAATAGGAACGCTTCATTTTGTGCTTCTTCATTTTCCTGATCTATTTCTCTATCCTTCTCGGCAGTGTTTGGTGTACCAACATACTCAATTGCATTACTTTCTTCCTTTGGTTTGTTCTGGACTGCCATCTCCTTCACAAGCTCGTCACTTTGCTGTGAGGTACTTGATTCATGCTTGGGAGGAGATGAGTTTTCCATTCGATGGTTCCTCACAGATACTGTTCTAAATGAGGCAGCTACCGTAAATGGTCGACACCTTTCTTTTAATGAGGATGTTCTGCGTAACTTCTTAAGATCTTGGTCTACTTCTTCCTGGGGATCTGGTTTCTGAACCTCATCCTCTGGGGGCCACTTCGGTTTGAATACTCGAATGCCTTCTTCCAAGACATTCCCTTGACTGCCTTGTTCAGGAGGAGGTGGCCAGGAAATCTTCAGCTTTTTTGTCTCTGTATTTTTTTCCTCCTTCTCAAGCATTCCAGCAGCTTTTGCTTCCATGCTGGCAGCTAAAACCCCAACTTTGGCAATTGGGGCATCTTCTACTCCTGGACTATGAGGGGCTTCCGTGGCATTTCCAATACAGTCATCAGCTTCGGTTTTGCTTGCCCATAGTTCTTTGTGAGGCTTATGTCCAAAACCTTCATCATAATTACCTTTGGATTTAAAGAGCTGGTTAAAGTGAGGCTTGCAGTAAACATGTCCTTGAAGAGAGGCATATGTTCCAAGTCTGTATAAGGAAGATACAATAAAAATGCCCATTAGTAACTCACACAATTGAAGAAGCTTACCATGCCTTCAAAAAAAACCCAAAAAAACCCCAAAACACCAGATGTTTTATCAGTGACTCCTTAAGACAACCTAAGCTAATTACAGTAGTTCTGTTTAGAATCACTTTCCTTATACAGCAACTTTAAAAGGGAAAACTTTCTCAGATTTAAAAGAAATCATGGTTATTAAAAGGAACACCTGCTGTTGTATTACAAAGGGATATATATATATATATATATATATATATATATATATATATATAT